CGAATATATGCGTCGAGTACTTGCCAGCGTACTGATCGGCCACGACATCATTGTTCCGACGAAAGTCGAACCCGTTAAAATGTCCCGGAGAGGCGCTGATGTTATGATAAAAGTGGTCTCCCATTGCTTGGTAAAAACCTGTTGAAGGAAGAAGTCATATCAGAATGTATTGAGTATATCAAACCCTAAACCATAATATTTAGGCGCTTTCCGAAGTATCGAAGAACTTTTTTAATAACCACTTATGAACGACGATCGATTTACCTAATTACATATTCAAATTTATTCAAACGTAATGTGTATTTGTTTGTTGTATCCAATCAAGCAATCACATTTCTGTATAACGGCGTAACAAATAAACGGTTATATAACACACAACTTTAGAGCAAGTAAATATGACCGAAGATATATCAAGGTGAATACTATGCACAATAAATAAAATAGACGTGTATGATACCCAATCGTATAGCTACATCAGTGGCCAAGACGTGTCGTGATAGGTGTCTTTACGATTAGGAGGCGTACGCGCGCGTCGGTTCGAGTCACGCACGCCGTACATGTTTACTTTGATTTCACACTTATAGATTAAAAAAAAAAAGAATCTTGCTAAACGAGAACTGTGGACACCTACCCAAGAATGAATCAAACCCTCTGTTATTTGGCAAACATTCTTTTCTGTAAAAGCCCAGATGCCATTTCCCAACCATATGCGTATCGTATCCTTCTTCTTTCAGCTTTTGTGGTAACGTGATTTCATCGAGCGGTAGACATAGTGGCTGCATCATCAGTATTGTTCCATGCTGCAAGCCGGTGTGGATCTAACCGAATAAACAGATAGTCGCTGTTGTTTCAGAGTTATATTTGATATAGACTCTTCAGATATACTGAATCAATCTGAACAATGATTGCAGCAGGCACACGCAACATATATCATAGAAGCATAATATAATATTTGTTATTATTATTTGCAAAGTATTTAAGGGGATGACCCAATTAGCAAAATGATGATCTTCCTTGGGCCCCTCAACATAAAATTACACGAATTATACGAATGCCAGGAAATGTTCTGTTACACGCTAAAAATTGGCTTATACAAATGACTCAATTAAGAAAGGGTCCACAAAATATGTATTTGATTTAACACGATTCATAATATAATATAATATAATATATAATTAAATGTCTATATAACGGACAAAAATGGACTGCCTGTCGTTATTATTGTCTATTTCAACGGAAGGGTCGATTTACAGTCACATGGCGGCTGTTGCCTATTTCGACCGATTGAATCAGTCCGAATTTTTCAAAGCAATTTAACTGAGTTGCCGTAGAAGCGTAAGCCGCCCTTTGTAGTATAAATCCAGGGTGTGTTTGTTGAAGATTAAATTGCGTGGTCTCTTGTTCAGTATTTTTGCTGTCGTGTATGCGGATAGTATTGCTATGCATTCGTTGTAGTAACAGAAACCACCAAGCTGAATCATCTCTGCGGGGAAGTATGTATACGTAAAAAAAAAAATACCGACATTGTTATTTAATTATATTTAACCCGTCCACCTGTTGCAAATCGATGTGCTGGAGCATACATTATAGACAGGCACCTTCATAGTTGTGCACTGAAGCGGGTGTGCCGTATTATTCTTAGTCATACGGTGGTTCGATGTGAGCATTTTACGTGAAGACAGCCATTCCCTGACTTCAAGGGGGTTGCTGTCAAAGTAAGCAAACACTGCGAGAAAATGCATTGCAGACGGAATCAGATTAGTGAGAAACATTTCCGGTGGCGGTTTGTTTAATCAACTTCAATAGCCACTGGATGACGATGATAAAATCAGTACATTAAAAATCACGTATGGTCAATTGACTTATGAAGTAAGATGATATTTGACAGGGAATGCAAAAGCGGGCGTTAAAAGTGTCTTCAACATTCAGGGGCGGATGCAGTATGTTTGGTTGTTCTCATACACATGCACCAACAGCATCCCACAGGGCAGATGAAGGATACTCGCTTAGGGGGTGCACCTTTACAAAGACGTAAATATCGCATTGTGTTATGGGATAGAAGTGTATGAGTAACGCCGCGCGCATCATATAAATCCAGCCACTGTCCACTGAGTAAAAGAATGTGTGTCAAATGTGCTCACTTGGTACGAAATGCTATCAGTTCCATATGGTGAAAGTTGGCCAAACTGATAAAATACAAAATATTGAAATAATCCAAAAATACAGCCCCTAAACTTACACTTTTGTTTTTACTTGGAGCCTGGTTGAACCAGATAAACTTGAACCACTAAAGATTATTCGATCCTCTCCCCTCCCTCCTCTCCCATCCCTCCTCACCCCTCCCTCCTCTCCCCTCCTTCCAATGGAATACAATGTTGATAGTGTTGCCAAGCACATAGCTATTCAGCTGTTAGCATGTTATTTGGTCCACAGTGACACGGAATCATTAGTGTATTATAACGGAACTGAACACATGCCAACCCCGCCACCAGTAGCCGGCTGGGTAACGCGCCTTATGGCGGTACAAACATAGGGCTGGAACAAAATATTTCCACAGTATAAATTAAATACCATGACCTTTCGGATGATGACTTCCCGGCCGTTACGAAGATGCCACGACGGTGAAGTCATACTTACCTCATATCTGCCAGTCAGTAACACGCTCCTCGAGGGCGTACACAGTGAAGGCATGTAATAGTTCTCCAGTGTCACGCCTTCTGCAGCTAATGCATCGATATATGGGGTTTTCATGACCGAGCCATGGTAACCCACGTCGTCCCAACCCAAATCATCGGCGAGGATAAATATAATATGAGGTCTTGTTGCGGAAGCGGTAGCTAGTGACAACGACACGCCTAGGAGGATAGAGAGGAGGCATCGTAGCCATGTATTCGTCATAGTGAGTACATCATACTGAGCCAGATGAGCCTTACTATTACAAAGAAGGCCAAATGTAGCTACAATGTTGATGTATGACAGCCTATTACCTGTTTCATCGCTTTCTGCGCATATTAGTGTCACGTGGATGTATGGCACGACGACAGCCGTACAGAGGATTAGCGTCAGCGCTGATGTACAGTTTTAGCTGTTTCTTTTGTGTGACCCCCCCCCCTCAACAATTTAACGCCGCGATTGAATGTAACACATGGTGAAACTTGTTCAGATTCAAATAAATTAACGAGGTAACTATTACCACGCAATTACTAAGCAATGCCCGGATACACATAAACTCAAACGAAACCAATTATTAAATATCCATTATGCTAATTTTGAGGTGTGACCAATCATGATTGCATTAGTAACAATACTTTGCTTTGTATTACGAATTCACGTTAACAGAGAATTTCATATCAACAATATTTTGTGACAGTATCTGCCGCTACCAAAACAGTCAAAACAAGCACAGCAAAGACAACAACAAATTGGAAAAACACTTGTAACTAAAACTAAGATAAACGTGTTCTATATTGCATCACTTTCAACGCAAAATGAGAAAGGTTTAAAGGGTGGTAGTCGCCGTGCCGCGCATGTGCGACGTTTGTGTTGATAAACATCGATTTTCCCACAATCCAATGCGCTCTTCTAATGGAATCACAAGTATGAGGTTTGATCTGGGCGTGACTTGCACTGATTACAGCCGGTGACTCCTTCGATACCTTCCAATCACCTAAAAATGTCTAACTTCTCAGTTTGTACTCATTGATCTGCGCAACATCCAAAGTCGCCATGTTTGTTTATATGAGACCATATAGCTCGCGCATGCGTGGCGCGACGGCTACCGCTCTTTAACTAAATACCATGCTCCGAAGAATTATCTGGTGGGACTTATAGTAGTTTGGTTCAATTAGTATACTGCTTAGTACACAGAGACAAAAACGTCACCAATCGTTTAAAATCGAAAAACATTTGCCTGCTTTGTTGTGGTGTGACAGATAGATATTTGGATGACAAATATACTAGTGTTTTTACACGACTGTCTGCGAACGAGGCTAAACATAATGGCGAATTTAACGATGTACTTTTACAAAAATGACAAATGGCATTATATGCCGCAACAATTCTATTACCAACATTTAATATCTCTGCTAATTCATCATTCTACGTTCATTAATAAAAAAAATGCTGCTGCTAAAGTGTCTGGTATCCAGTTTCACAAACAACGTACAAGCTGTTACCTTTGCATGTCATTTGAATACCATTATCATTTCAATGTCTGGAAAAGACGCAATGAGGAAACAGTGCATCCTGGGAATAATTATGGTTGAAATTGCACCCCAAGTCGGACGCCACCAGCTATATTCAAATACAAAAGAAAATAGTCAAGTGAAACCGATCAGAGTATGGTTTAATATAATCCCCTATTTAGGCGTCGGTTGGATGGTAGCCGCTGTCACATTGTGGTTCACCAGAAAATGTCAAACTAACTACCTCCAAAATTCAGTCCAAATCACGGCTTTCTTCAATAATTTCTGTCCATATTATTGTGTAGTTAGTTTCAGTATTTTTTATGTTTGGGAACATTTATGGTGGTCGATAATTTACACAAATTCGAAAAAAATAATAATTTGATCAACAATAATCTACACACGCCCCGAAACTGGCGGTCAACGTTGGACACCGGTGCTTATAGTATAATACAATTTATATTTCAATGACTCTACCGATAGCGGACGCCAGTGTTGATTAACGTTCTCGGTCGCCATGGAACTATATTTAATTATATTACCCTGGCAATTTAAAAAAAAAAAAAACATCGTTAATACCATTTCGTATATTTGTTATGATAGCGATTTCACGTTCGCACATTCAGTTCACACGCCGTTGTACTTAGGGTAGAGATTATAAACATACATTTCAGAAAATTGATTGTCTACTTAATGTATTTAGTAGTTGCGACTTTGCAATGCTTTAACAATGAGACACATCCCCGGTAATCACGTGATCGTGCAACGACTGCAGCGATTGGCTGATCGTACGTTTACTCTTCCACGCTTTAGAGACCTGTCTTTTAAGATAGAGAGTTTGCAATCTTTTGTAAGGGGGGGGGGAAGAAGTAGACAGCGATGGGTTACCTCACCTGACTGTTTGGAAGAATAAAGCTGGACTGTCTGTAATGAACTAATGTGTATTCCTTTGGGTGGAATCTGGTACCTCTACGTGTAAGTGTTATCAGCTAAGTGAGTCAAGTTCCCCAAACACAAAGCTAGTGTTCATAACATATTGCTCAGCTAAATATGACGATGTAATACATGTGGTGTAATAATTCAGTTTTAATGATGTCACATTTGCATAAATGTAAAACAAACTGAAGGGCATTGTCACTGCCTTCAAGCTCACAAGTGTCATGTAAATCGAAATCGCTTTACAGATCATATTTGCCATCTGCATCTATGCGATTGTAATTTTCTCACACCCCGCTGCCACACTCACCAGTATTCCGAATTACAATCATTATACAAATCTGACAGATGAGATGCAGAGAAGATAGTTTTTCCAGTACATCCGACATATTTTCTGTGTGTTTTAATAAACGTATTCCCAGTTAGTCGCTTTTCATTGCAGCTCATAGAAGAGAATCCGATGTAACTTAACAATTTTGCCTCTCCAATGAAACATATTCAATGGTTACGTTGCCTCAAGATCATTCCCTCTCTGCCTACTTGTTCCACCCCACTTGTCACTTGTTACAATTTCAGTGGCACGCAAAATTGGCGCGATATCATATATGTATGGCATATTGGGTTAAAAAAATGAAATAATCTGACAACCAAACCACATGTATTCTACATAGTATTAATTGCACATTCCGGCACTACACCGTTGTTGCCTGGCGACAGCTGTCAATTCTTTACCTAATTCAATCTGTAAAACAAACAAGGGCGATAATATCATATCGATGGAAGGCATAGGGAATGAAATTATTACATAATTTATTATCAATTAGGGAAATAAATCAGAATAAATAGGGCTGTAATTAAAGTAATCTTGTAACCAAGAGGGTAGAGCAAGTCCGTTCGAACTTTTGAATAAGTTGTTGACAGAATGTTGGCATATAAAATAAGGAAAAGCATTTTATATAATACTGATTACGGTAGTACGATTGGTCCATGACTGACTTTCATAAAATACGCTAATTTTTTAATATGTTGGTGCTTTGACGAAATATTTTTTTTTAAATTATTAATTAGGAATTATATTTATTTGAATACTTTCAGATGTAAGCTAAAACGCATGTGCGAATATATTTGAGATGCCATATTTTCTAAACCTCCACGCGCACAGAAATGTTTTTCAATCATGACTGAAGACGCTTCACAGTTTGAAATGCCACGATTCGAATTGACTTATATCTCAGAACCCTGAAATATACCGTGTAGTAATTTTCAACTCAAGTCCGCCATTTTGTTTGTTCCAGTACGTCATCAAATCCGCCATTTTGATTTTCCAAGCACGTCAGAAAATTTGCTATTTTGATTGTTCTAGTTCGTATTCTAGTCTTACAAATGTCTGACCGTCATCAAATCCTCAATTTTGATTTTTCACAGTACGTCACCAAATCCGTTATTTTGTTTGTTTTTCCTAACTTCAGCAAATCCGTTATTTTGTTTATTTATCAGTACGTCATCAAATCCACCATTTTGATTGTCCATGCACGTCATAACATTGTAAGCTTGACTTTTACAGGTGTGCTAAAGAAAATTTTGAATTTGAACATTATTTGGAAAAAATTAAAAATAAAAATCATAGAATAGCTTATACTAAATTTAGAACTTCTGCACATTTTCTTCCTATTGAATCCGGTAGACATAAATGCATTTTGAAGGAAAACAGGCTATGTAATCTCCATGAATGCAATGAAGTAGGGGATGAGAAACATTACATTTTATATTGTAATAATTGTCAAAGATCTAGATTCCTTGCAGCTTTATACATCTTTGCCCCAAAGCTGGAAGATTTTAGCATGGATGAATTATTTCCTATTATTGTTTCAAGTAATGATTTTTTCATTCTTAGCATTTTTGCAAAATAAATCTATCTGTCTGTCTGTCTGTCTGTCTGTCTGTCTGTCTGTCTGTCTGTCTGTCTGTCTGTCTGTCTGTCTGTCTGTATGTCTGTCTATCTATCTATATATCAATCAATCAATCAATCAATCAATCAATCAATCAATCAATCATACTCCATTGTGTTTGTCTCAACACATTATCAAATCCACCACAGTCTTTTTACATCCCTATATCTATTTATTGTATCACGACTTGTTAGGTAAATGTTATCTTCTTAGCGTTGCGGACTTGTACGTCGTGAAAGTACTTCAGTACTTTGCTGATGATACCAAACAAAATAGATTGCCTATTGCAGAACTTACACCACTGTAACGATTCTCGAAATGATTCCTACTAATTCGCAGTCATACTACACATCGGAGTTGTATTGTACTTCTAGTAGAGTTTTTCTCAGAAGCTTCTACCAGGAAAACGAATGCATGATACCACATTCCCTCAGCGGTGGGGGTGGGTGGTTTATGACATACGTTGATAGTTCACCACATAGTAAACAATACAACTCGAACTCGAGTCATTCAAGTCCCCATCAGGCGAACCGAACCGACAAAGATTTGAAATAACCCACTCAACCAACGACATGTACTCTACGCACTGCCAATTGTGCATTCCGGCGATGTTGTTACTAGGCGACAGCCGTCGACTCTTATCCTTATTCAACATGCAAAACAAACACGAGAGGTATTATTTCAGTTCTGTGTGTTTTTTGATGACACGGTCGAATTCATTTTATACATAATATGCAGAGATTTATAATTCGCCCTTCTAGTAAGAATATAATTTATTCGGTGAATAAATGAGGAAGAGGTCTCAAGGATAAAAATTACTAATAAAACACTGTTTTAATATGTGACGTCATCACTTGAATCCACATCAACTC